AATTTAAGCTTTCGGCTATTTTAATTTCAATAATTGATTATGCGTTGAATCGTCACCAAATATTAATATATTCCCTCGTATAGTTCTAGTCCCTTGTCCGTGCATTCCATTCCAGGTTCAGAGCATCTCATAGAGGTTGAATCTTAATCATCTTTGTAGTTAAGAGTAAAATTTTTTGTACACTACTACATAAACGTCTCTTTTGTTTCTATCTTTATTTTACTTTTTTCAACAAACTCGATGATTTAATATCGATCTCATCTAAGTGAGAAAACCGATGGATGTGCTCCTTATACCTCTTTACAATAAAATGTGTTGAAAATCATAGTCCTATATTCCTTTTTAATTCAAATCAATATCCGAAATATTTCTGTAACCATTCATATGTAGAGCATAAACTATCTACCTTAAAAAAAAATCAATAATTATTGAAAATAATAAGCCTGGCCGGCGCTCATACATGTTTAATTTAATACACAAATTGTTGAGCATATTAATTCCCTGTTTGGCCCTATTTTTTAAAATTTATTTTTTTTCAAATTCATTTCCATCTACACATTCACACTCATTTCTGGCCCAAGCTACTAAGGCAGTGGCTTTGGGTCTCAAAAAAATTAAAAGTAAAAAATGACTGTTTTATGTACAGAAAATTTATAGAATTTTCTTGCATTAAATATTTTCTTGAACATGTTTATAAATTTTCTTGAAGATTTAGCATTGCAAATGAAGTAGAAGGTTGTCCGAATACCAATAATGATTTTTTTTTAATTATTCAATGTTAATTTGTGTTCTTTAGATTTGATTGTTGCTTTTGAATTTTTTACTTTTTAAATATAGGATATTTTTGGCAATAAATGGTAATCACGACTTACATACTTTACTAGCTTTCAGAAGGATTTAGTTCTATTTCTTGAATGCGAGAATTGATTCTCGAACAAATCAAATAGTGATTGAGTGTCATACGTATAATGTTCTTTATCACAAGTAACTATGTTTTAATCGACCATGATTGATTGTAAACAGATTGTTACGTTTGTCTAATAAAAAAAATTATATTTAGGGACCACACAATATTTTATCGCCTTGGACCTCAAAATTCTTTGAGTCGACCCTATTTTGAACTCTTGATGGAATTTTTTGTTGCAGACTAAAATGAAGTAGAATGTCTTATGAAATTGTTGATCTTGTAGCAATTGAATGAAAATAAGATGGATTTTGTGAAAATCTATGATTTGAGATTTTATTTTTTATCCGACTTTTTTAGTTCACAAGTTAAACTATTAGAATTTGGAATTTCAATTTTACGTTGAGAAAAAAGAATTATTACGAATGAAGGGAAACTCTTAAAAGCAACATCAAATTCAAGGTCAATGCTTGTATCATCCTTTTATTTAATTAATACACCATCATAATTTAGGACCTCGACCTAGACCCAATGTGGGTCGGTGGGTGGGTTGGTTTGAGTTGGGTTGGGTTGGGTTGGGTGTTAGGAAAATATTTATTATGATTGGGCTTTGGGAGGGGGAGATGTAAGAAAATTACAAGCTTGAGCTTAGCTGTAACTAGAATTCTTATATTAAGAGTGAGAAAGGAGATGTAAGATAAATTACCAACTTGACAGCATGAACATGCTTTGCTAATCTTTGTCCGCTCTGAAGGCTTACTAATCCATTGTTATTGATCCATTCAAGCCATAGACATTTTATTTTTATTTTTTTTATTAGCACAGGTGTTTTGAACTTTTTCAAGGCAGTTGACTTGTGCCCTCGTTAGTCTTTTTGTTTCTAAACTTTTATTACTAGCCTCACATTTTGTGTTGTTTTCATATTCCATAATGTTTCTAATGGTTTTTATAGTGTTTTACCCCAACTATGACGACGAAGTGAAGATTAGAGAATAAAATAAGTAAATTACGGATGCATCCCAAAGTCACCTACCGTTCTACGAATGAAGTGAACGCAAACATAATTTCTAAATAAATAAGAAGTTGTTTTATCGTTCCTTGCTTGTCCTTTTTGTAACTTGAAACTCAATTTAACATTTTTAAATATACATCTATATGTAGGTCACCTTCGTCATTTTTGGCACTTTTGGGGCTCCTTTCTTTGAAACTTAACAAAGACATAATCACATCGTAAAATTGTTCTTTAAGTTGAACATACTGCCAAATGTCGCCCAATTCACAAACTATTCTCAAATGAGCATATGCCAAACACCACATTCGTAAAGAAAATAAGTATAAAAGAAGAAATTGGAGAGAAAAAAAAAAGGAAAAA